GGAGCAGACACAAAGGGTTTCCCTGACCTTCAAATAAATAAGGGCCTCTACGGGCCCTGACACGCCGAAGGCCCGAAAAGGGCCGAGGCTACCCCCAACCCAGCTTAAACCCTAACAGCGCAACTTTAAAAACATCAAAGCAAGCATCAGAGCACAAGAAAGTAAATTCCATAAACCCTAAACCCTAATAGAGTATAGTTTGGGTGGCCGGGGTGGGTTGACGCGAGCGCGCGGCCCGGGGTGTTTCACACCCGAGCGCGCGGCCCTCCCTGACACACCCTAAACCCAAACCCTGAAACCCCAAACCTAAACCTAAACAACCTAAACCCTAAGCCTCCCTTTTCAGGACTGCTACTAACATCCCCTAGCACCCTAAAAACCCTAAACCCTAAACTAAACCCTAAACCCTAACCCTAAACCTAAACTCCAACCCTAAACCCCTAAAAACCCTAAACCCTAAAATCGCCCTAAACCCTACGTAGGCCAGGATTATGGGCTCCGCCCAGTCGACGGTGCTTCTCTTGGAAGTGGAGCGGCCGTGGGTAATCAGACGGCTTTAGGGATTAGGGATTAGGGTTTAGGGTCGAGGGTTCGGGGCCCTGGGCCGGTAGGGTTTACGCGCCCTACTAGTGTGCTTCCGTGGGACCCCCGCTTCGGGCCTGACGTCTGCTTTCTTCCGGAGCGCGTCCTGAGTGTTTTGCCACGCACAGGCTTCCCTCTTGTGCTTACGTTGGGTGGGGGGGCTTGTCCGTTTGAAAGGTTGAAAGCGTTAGCCCTAGTTTTTTTGTTGTTGTTTTTGTTGTTCGTATTAAGGGCTGGATATGCTTGGGCCCAAAAGCAAGAGCCTGAGTCGAACACCTGCAAAAACCCCACACCTGTCACAGGAAACTACAGCGGAAGACGCTGGATCAGCGCAAGCGCTTGCTGCAGTGCGGGGCCTGATGCAGCATGAGGAGAGCCCCCCTTTGTGGTGGTTGATTTTGGGTCTGGGAAATTGGGATTGCAGGGAGATTGCCCGGATGGGTTTTTTTCTTAGGGGTTGCCAGGCCTGTCCGCAGGCTTTCTAACTCGAGGAATAGAGGAGATCTCTGAACTCAACGTTCCGAAGGCCTCTGGGAAACGCGGTTGATCGCCCGTCCCCTAGAGACCCCCCCCCTCCCCCCCCAAAAAAAAAAGGGGGTGTAAGATCCTAATCCCCTGCCGCTCGTGAGGCTGCTACAATGAGAATAACCCGGAGACCCGCCTCGTCACCGTCCTCGACCTGTGCCCGTCGTTCTGTGGGCACCACCCTGACTTTCCCTAAGCCCCCCAAGTCGCACGACCGTGTGAAGGCACGAAGCTGACGCGAAGCCCTGAAAGCCTCCGTCCCTAAACCCTGACCCTCAACATGTGTCTTGAGTCTGCAGATTGCTCTTTGACCACTTTGTGCCACGCATCCTCTGAGGGAGAAGCCCCTCCCACTGCTCCCAAACTCCCCACCAAGCGGTTCGTCACACGAACAACCCTAAACCCTAACCCTGACCCCCCTGAACACCCGGAAGCCTGAACCCTGACCCTGACCCTAACCTGAACCCTTAACCCTAACCCTAAACCCTAACCCCTAAACCCTACACCCGGAATCCAACCGAAAGGCAGGGCGGCTCCGCGCGCCGGGCTCGCAGGCAGCCGGCACCGAGGTCGCCACAATGGGCTCTTGTGTTTGGGTTTAGGGTTTAGGGTTTAGGGTTTGGGTTTAGGGTCCTAAGGGGGTAGGGTTTAGGTTTTAGGGTTCAGGGTTCAGGGTTTGGGGTTTAGGTGTTTCGGTTTAGGCGGTAGGGTTTTTAGTTTAGGGTTCAGGGTTTGGGGTTTAGGGTTAGGGTTTAGGTGGGTAGGGTTTATTTTTTAGGTTCAGGGTTCAGGTTCGGGTTTAGGGTTTAGGGTCAGCGCTCCGGTCGAGCATTCTCTAGTAGATGCGCTGTTTGGACTCTCAAAAAAAACCCCACCCGACCACGAATCAAAACATTAACCATGCAAATTGACATTTTCATCAGCAAGAGCCCTGTCCCCCAACCTCCTCTGTCACGGAGCGGGCCCTCCCCCCTCGAACCATTCCACGTCTGCTGCAGTCACAGGGCACCAATTCCAAGCAAGCCTTCAAAAACAAGAACGTGGGGCAGGGTTAACCAATACATCACAACGTCACATGTTTGCATCTTCATATCGAACAAATATGTAGATATTTGAAACATTTTTTAAATATATGTTTGCCATGCTGTTACAGCTTAATCCTGTGAAACTAACCAACCCGGTGAAAGCCAGACCTAGCTTTCATGGGATCGTCAATTTCCCCCTCTTTGAAAATAAGATATTTTGGTCAATGCGCTGTTTAGCTTCTTTGAAATCATTTGACATGGGCCAATTACGTTAGATAGGTCAATAACAATGGAATGATGGGGTCAGTTCCATTGTTTTTTCCGTTTCTAGCACTACTAAAAATTGCCAGACAAAGTGATGATACAAAATTGAAGCCGGGTTCAATTTCTTCTATTTTAATCGTACATGTCTTTTCTGACACCTCTCCTGAGAGAACTGCAAGTCTATTGATTCATAGCTTGCGAAAACCACGAAAAAGAAGTCGTACGGATTCATGTATGCGTGACCTGTCATACCATAATCTGACACGTTATCCCACATATGTCAAAAAGATTGAAAGACAATGTGATCAACGACTGCAAACACTGTAAACCGACTATACTTTTGGTTGGAAGCCCTCTCAAGGAACGAGGTTTTTTGGGGTTCTTGCCCCATTCCCGCCAGAGCGTGGGGCGTAGAGTAAAGGGTTTAGGGTTTAGGGGTTAGGGCTCTAGCCCCCCAGCCCCAAACACAGGCGCCGCCGTAATGCGACGTGGACTACGTCTTCTTCGTGTGGCTTGGCATGCAAAACGTACCTGTTTGCGGCTTTTGCTGGAGCGCGTAGCTCCCTGAAGCTCAGCGTGCCCCCGCCCCCAAACCCTAACGAGCCCTAAGCTGGCATTCTCTGGATTGGGGTTTTGTTCGTTGGGGATTCTAGCGATGGCAGCTGGGGAACCGGCCCCCAAAGACAGCCCCGCCCCCACAGGCTGGATCGCCTCGAGAACAGGAGCGCGCGGCGGGGGGGGGTTGTGACGTCGCGCTTCGCTAGACTTGCCAACACCAGGGTTTAGGGGTTGAGGGTTTTAGGTTCGCCCTCCCAAGATGCCTAAGCTGCGCTGTTGGGGCGACGATAAGCCAGGTTCATTCTTGACCTGTGAGGCCTCAGGTGTTCCTCATCCAAGAGGTTGGGGGCCTCCTGTTTTCTGTGACTATTCATGTAATTCTCATGACTGCTATAGGGTTATCATGTTCTTCTTTCTTCTCTTAGATGAATGATGATGATGATTTGAGATGTGATTATTACGATACTATTTGAGGGGTGGGCGGGGGGGGGGGGGTGGGCTTCTGTCTGGGTCGGGTTCTGGTGTAATCATGAGGGGAGGCTGGAGCCGTCAGTCTGCATGAGGCCCTGCGCTCCTGACTCTCTCCCCCTAACCCGTGTGCGGTTCTGGGCTGATGCTGTTTGAAAACCCGAATGTCTTCTTGAAGGTGGATCAGGGCTTCTAAAAGCCTCTAAGGCCATCAACCGGCTGTCGGTGAGAGCCCTAAACCCCTAAACCCTGTGCGGTGTGGGGGGTGGGGGAGGCTCACGCTAGAGTGTCCCGGGTGATGTAGGCCCTAAATTCCCTAAACCCTAAACGGGGGTGGGGGTGGGGTTCCTAAACCCTAAACCCTAAACCCTAGCCTGCATTGAGAGTAAGCGCGAGACAGAGATTCGGAGCCCAAGAAGCTGCGAACAGAACTGCCCCGTGGTGTTCAGGGGACTCCCTGAACCTAGACCACTGACATTCCAGGCTGCCCAAACCCGAAACCCTAAACCCTAACCCCTAAACCAAACCCTAAACCCGAACCCGAACCCGAAAAAAACCTACACCCGCGCGCCTTTAACCCCCAAAGCCTTGGCAAGGATGCGTCCTGAACACATCAAGGCTCGGTGGTGGCCTTGACTTTCAGGCGGTCTGCAGCTCGTCCCCTCTCCCCCCATATGTGGGTTTTACGAAGATGGGGACCCCTGTAAGTGACTGATTCCCCTTATAAGAAGGACCAGTAAGGTACCCCCAATAATCGAAACAGCTATACCTTCCCCCACCGAACACGAAAACCTTCCTGTCCTGGGGAAAAGATACGGACTCTTGTTGTCAGCCGCTTTGCTCAGACGATCAAGACCTGCACCCCTGTCTATTGCCAAGACGCTTGACAGTGACCTGCGAGGATCGTGCAGATGCCCTCTTCGTCCCATGCTTTCCCGGATGCTCAGAGGCGTGGTGCTTAAAGGGACGTGCAGAGTTTCAAGGTCTGGACCGTCAGAAGCAGACTCGAACCCTGCCGTCACTGCACCGTGGCATGGCCCAAAGCCCTAGGCCCCAGCTTCATATCCTAAATTCCCAGTGTAAGCCCGTAAAGAGCACGCAGCTTTAAGACCCCATCCCCTCCTTCTCTGGTGAACCCGCCGTCTCGATTGCAAATAGCTTATATCCCACATTCGGGTTTTTTCTTACTTGATTCCTTCTTAGACCCAAAACCCTAAACCCTTTAACGGCCGCTGGCACTTGTCAGGTCTGGGTCCCTTGCAAGCATGTGATGAGAAAACCCACAAAGACGCAAGCTTTACAGTCCCAAGCGCATGGGGTGTGTTCTAGCTTGGCGTTCACTTGCGGATGTTTATATCACGGCTCCATTCAAAAAGAGTTGCAGGAACCCAAGGTTCCGGAGTTAGAGCAACCATGAAACAACAATCCCCCATCAGCCCCCCAAACTGATATTCGTCGCGGCCCCCTAAAACCCTAAATCTAACCCTAAACCCTAACACCTTACACCCTACACCCTACCCCTAAACCCTAAACCCTAAACCCTAAACCTGAACCCTAAACCGCGCTGGGGGCGCCATCATGGCCCGGGTGGAGCAGATAGTGGAGGTGGTACGAGGTCCGCTTGATCGCCCTGGTAACCCCTAATCTAAACTCCCCAATGCCGACCTCCCTAGCACACTTCCAGCAACCGTTTGAAATTTTGTTGAGATGTGTTTTTAATGACTTCAGGCTGGGGTGGGTTTTCGAGATGTTTGGAATTTCTTTTTCATGGGACGAACTTAAATCCATCATGACGAAATCCTTGCCGGAAACTTGATTTTCAAAGGTCTCTTGACCGTACCCCCGTGGGCGTTGGGTGGGTGGTGGGGGAGGCGGGGGTGTGGGCGGGGGGGGGTGGGTGGGTGGTTGGGGGGGTGGGTGGGGGGGGGGGGGGGGAAAATGGAGGGTGGTACCTAAAGCCTTCATGGTTCCTATCCTGCCAAGTCCAACAAGCCCCTCTGCCCCCTCGCGCCATTCTGCCAGGCTGTTGCGCAGGCGATTCAGACCAACAGTGAGTCTGTGAAACAGCACTTCCAGGTGGAGTTTGGGTTAAGGGAGTGATGGGTTGAGAGAGGCTTCGGCATTAGGGGGGTTTAGGGTTTGCAAGGGTTTAGGGTTTGGGGCTTTTGCACGAAAAAACCTCCAAGGCCTCCTGCAACCAGCCAGGATGTTGTGAAGCAGATCAACACCCATATTCAGAGTGCTGCGAAAGAGAACAACAATTTGGAGAACGAGGCTGGCGCTGGGAATCACGCGTTGTTGGGAAGTAGGCCCCAGTGAGTGCTGCGCATGCCGCAAAGTGCCTACCCTGCGTTTGTCTACGCCTCGTGCAGGATCAAAATTTTTGCAAGTTCAGGTATTCGTCAGAAAACGGCAATCATGGCTCGCCGTGTGATGTCGCTGATGCTGCTGGCCGCAGCTGTGGCCGCGCTTTGCCGCAGCACGGCCTTCTTGGCTGCCCCAAAGGACCTGCCTCGTGCCGACGTCCTGGCAGCTTTGGCACCCATGGTGTTGGGAGCCTAGCAAACCAGCATGTGAAGCTGTCGCGATGTAGGTTGTGTAGGCCCCCAGTGGTGCAAGTCGGAGACTCTGCAGCCCGTGCCTAGGATGGTTCAGCCTGCCTTTGCTGAAGCGGAGCTGCCGTACAACGGCGACTTCGATACCCCCAAGTACTACGAGGAGTCGACCTCGTCCGACCTGACATACCTGCTCTTCTTCACGGCCGCGACTCTCGTTTACATGGGCAAGACTGCCTTCGACAAGAGCGGTGCCAAGAGCTTGGGCGACGCAGTGAGCAAGTGAGCTGTGTTTTTGATGTAAAGGGCTCGCTGAAGCGCTGTCCATCAGTGCATGTACTGCACTGATCTCCATGCCAGAAAGACCTCAACTCAACGCGCGCAAAGCAGCTCGTGAACGCTTGTCGCAAAGCAAAACAGGTGCGGCTGGCGTTGCAATTGAGGTCGTTTGCTGAACGAGGAGCAATGTTTGTCCGCTGTGCACCCGCCATCTTGATCTTGCATTTAGGCTTGCAGCACTGTGTTCTGTTAGTTGGGCTTGGAAGTAGCAATCATGGCTCGCCGTGTGATGTCGCTGATGCTGCTGGCCGCAGCTGTGGCCGCGCTTTGCCGCAGCACGGCCTTCTTGGCTGCCCCAAAGGACCTGCCTCGTGCCGACGTCCTGGCAGCTTTGGCACCCATGGTGTTGGGAGCCTAGCAAACCAGCATGTGAAGCTGTCGCGATGTAGGTTGTGTAGGCCCCCAGTGGTGCAAGTCGGAGACTCTGCAGCCCGTGCCTAGGATGGTTCAGCCTGCCTTTGCTGAAGCGGAGCTGCCGTACAACGGCGACTTCGATACCCCCAAGTACTATGAGGAGTCGACCTCGTCCGACCTGACATACCTGCTCTTCTTCACGGCCGCGACTCTCGTTTACATGGGCAAGACTGCCTTCGACAAGAGCGGTGCCAAGAGCTTGGGCGACGCAGTGAGCAAGTGAAACGTTTTTTGTGTACAAGACAGCATCTCAGCCCGCGCAAAGCAGCCCGCGATGCTTGTCGCAAAGCAAAACAGGTGCGGCTGGCGTTGCATTGAGGTCGTTTGCTGAACGAGGAGCAATGTTTGTCCGCTGTGCACTTGCCATCTTGATCTTGCATTTAGGCTTGCAGCACTGTGTTCTGTTAGTTGGGCTTGGAAATAGCAATCATGGCTCGCCGTGTGATGTCGCTGATGCTGCTGGCCGCAGCTGTGGCCGCGCTTTGCCGCAGCACGGCCTTCTTGGCTGCCCCAAAGGACCTGCCTCGTGCCGACGTCCTGGCAGCTTTGGCACCCATGGTGTTGGGAGCCTAGCAAACCAGCATGTGAAGCTGTCGCGATGTAGGTTGTGTAGGCCCCCAGTGGTGCAAGTCGGAGACTCTGCAGCCCGTGCCTAGGATGGTTCAGCCTGCCTTTGCTGAAGCGGAGCTGCCGTACAACGGCGACTTCGATACCCCCAAGTACTACGAGGAGTCGACCTCGTCCGACCTGACATACCTGCTCTTCTTCACGGCCGCGACTCTCGTTTACATGGGCAAGACTGCCTTCGACAAGAGCGGTGCCAAGAGCTTGGGCGACGCAGTGAGCAAGTGAGCTGTGTTTTTGATGTAAAGGGCTCGCTGAAGCGCTGTCCATCAGTGCATGTACTGCACTGATCTCCATGCCAGAAAGACCTCAACTCAACGCGCGCAAAGCAGCTCGTGAACGCTTGTCGCAAAGCAAAACAGGTGCGGCTGGCGTTGCAATTGAGGTCGTTTGCTGAACGAGGAGCAATGTTTGTCCGCTGTGCACTTGCCATCTTGATCTTGCATTTAGGCTTGCAGCACTGTGTTCTGCTAGTTGGGCTTGGAAGTAGCAATCATGGCTCGCCGTGTGATGTCGCTGATGCTGCTGGCCGCAGCTGTGGCCGCGCTTTGCCGCAGCACGGCCTTCTTGGCTGCCCCGAAGGACCTGCCTCGTGCCGACGTCCTGGCAGCTTTGGCACCCATGGTGTTGGGAGCCTAGCAAACCAGCATGTGAAGCTGTCGCAATGTAGGTTGTGTAGTCCCCCAGTGATGCAAGTCGGAGACTCTGCAGCCCGTGCCTAGGATGGTTCAGCCTGCCTTTGCTGAAGCGGAGCTGCCGTACAACGGCGACTTCGATACCCCCAAGTACTATGAGGAGTCGACCTCGTCCGACCTGACATACCTGCTCTTCTTCACGGCTGCGACTCTCGTCTACATGGGCAAGACTGCCTTCGACAAGAGCGGTGCCAAGAGCTTGGGCGACGCAGTGAGCAAGTGAGCTTCTTTTTGTTGCGGTTAACGGCTTGTGCCACAATTAGAACCGCTTGATTACAAGATCGTCTGCAGTTGCGTGTGCATGCAGCAGTCGGTCAAAACATCAATGGCTCGAGGAGAACGTACTGTTCTTGCGATGTTCGTGACTCAACAAGATGCTTGGCGGTTGCTGCAGTGCCGCTCGTTGGCTCACTGCGTGCCCCAGGAAGCCTAATCATTTTGTGTAGTCATGGCTCGCCCTGTGATGTCGCTGATGCTGCTGGCCGCAGCGGTGGCCGCGCTTTGCCGCAGCACGGCCTTCTTGGCTGCCCCAAAGGACCTGCCTCGTGCCGACGTCCTGGCAGCTTTGGCACCCATGGTGTTGGGAGCCTAGCAAACCAGCATGTGAAGCTGTCGCGATGTAGGTTGTGTAGGCCCCCAGTGATGCAAGTCGGAGACTCTGCAGCCCGTGCCTAGGATGGTTCAGCCTGCCTTTGCTGAAGCGGAGCTGCCGTACAACGGCGACTTCGATACCCCCAAGTACTATGAGGAGTCGACCTCGTCCGACCTGACATACCTGCTCTTCTTCACGGCCGCGACTCTCGTCTACATGGGCAAGACTGCCTTCGACAAGAGCGGTGCCAAGAGCTTGGGCGACGCAGTGAGCAAGTGAGCTGCGCATTTGGTGTAGGCTGTCACAGCCTGCTCTGGCGAGATGAGTGCGGCGCGATTGTTTTCCAGTGCAGGGCAGAGCAGCCCCATAGCACATGCAGCCGCGCGTAGTTGTCCCAGCAGCAAAAGGCCTGGCATGGATTGGCATGACGAGCAAGAACCCGGAGATCCCATCCGAGTCCCAAGATGCCCCATGCTTTCCAAAGCTTTCTGAACTGCCATTGGTTTGGGGTTTAGGGTTTAGGGTTTAGGGTTTAGGGTTTAGGGTTTAGGGTTTGGGGTTTGGGGTTTAGGGTTTGCTTTCCCCAACATCCTCAACCCCCAAGCCCCTTCGCTTCGTCGGCTTAGAGCCGCCTCTTGAGCTCCAGATGTTTGGCTTTTTTCCAAAGGCGATCCGGAGCCGCCTTTTTCGAGCCTTTACAACATTGAAGGCGAGGCCATGATCTTGGGGGCTTTATGGTTACATCGTGCTCTCGTGGTTCAGTGACGGTGTTTCGGGGTGTTTCGGGGTTCCGAGGTGGAGAAGGACACATCTAAACTTCGGGCGATCTTTGACTCATGCAGCTTGCCTCTTAACGAGGTTTGTTTTTTTGGTGTTCGGTGTACAGATGATTCTACAGGGTTGAGGGCCCAGTGTGCCGACTCACGAGACATAGGAGTTTCGGGGATCAGCTGGCATCTAAGCCAAGAGTCCTTACTTTTGGCGACCTGGTGAAAGCACTGGCTCAGTCTTGTCCCTACACTCTCGCAACCCGAAATCGCATCACCCAAAACTGTGACGGGGTTGTCGCCTGGTGTATCTAGGGTTCATTTTTTGGAAGGGGGCTGTAGTGTCGGCCTGGGTCAAATAGAAGCCCGGCGGTGATACAAGACAACAGAACCACCAGCAACCCCAACAACAAACAACGAGCAACCCGGCATTTTCATGGATAATTGTTTTAGTGTTTTCGCATGTTTTCCCCAGGAACCCAGAAGCAACAGAGATCAACAAAGCAGACCACCAAACAGTCACGCAAGAAGGACAACGCGATACCTACTACGGCCACCACAAAGAACCAACGACCTACGACCAAATATTGAGCTTGGCACCCTCGCCATGCTCGAGATTGGGTCAAAGGAAATAGGGTTTCGGATTCAGGGATATGCCGTATCAACACGACAGCGACGAACCCAGCAAGAACTCGTTCAACCCTGACGTACGAGAAGCCCTCAAAGCTCGTGAAGTGGAACCCGAGCAAAAGCAGCCCCCATATTTTCTGTTCAGGAGAAGGCGCAGATCCGGAACTGAGTCGGCCCCTCGGCCCCTCAGCCCTTTGGGATGCGAGGGTTGACGCCGCCCATCGCCATAGCATGCGGCGGAACCCTGAATCCCCTGAAATCTCCCTAAAACCTGAACCCTGAACCCTAAACCCTGAACCCTGAACCCTGAACCCTAAACCCTAAACCCTATGCGTTTTGGCAGGCCGCCTTGCCATCGTGACTGCCACAAGCTTCGCACACGGTGAGCTTGGAGTTCCAACCGTTTGTAATATGAAGACTTGGGGTGCTTCGTTAGCGGTGCAAACTCGAAGCCCGAACCCAAATGCCTGGTTGTGAGATCGTGCTCGGGGCCTGTGGCCAATTTGCAGAAACGTGGCAGCAGGGCAAGAGGGCCGTCGGCGCAAGTCCCGAAAAAGTTCTTTTTCTTGAAAACCCGAAGCCGGATAGCGCGGAGCACACCCCCCCCCATCCCAAACAGCCCAAGCCCTAAACCCTAAACCCGAAACCCTTGACCCCAAACCCCAAACCCCAAACCCTTAACCCTAAACCCTAAACCCTAAACCCCAAACCCTTAACCCTAAACCCTAAACCCTAAACCCTTAAACCCGATGAGCCCTGAAGCCATCCTGCAAACCCATCAGCCGCTGCCCTGCATGCAGCGCGAAGAGATCTCAGCGGTTCGCCAAAGCATGCGCGGCCCTGCAGGCGATTGCAACTCTTTGGGGTTTAGGGTTTAGGGTTTAGGGTTCAGGGTTCAGGGTTCAGGGTTCAGGGTGTTGCCACTCTTGACCCCCGAAATCCGGGCCTTCAAGAACCTCCTAGACCCTGAACCCTAAACCCTAAACCCGAAGCCCTAAGCCCTAAACCCTAAGCCCTAAACCCTAAACCCTAAACCCTAAGCCCTAAGCCCTAAACCCTAGTTTGGCAGTTTTTTGCCCGGTGGAGAGACATCCTCTGCATCGCGGTCTTTGGGGCAAATTTCCCCAGACGCCCAAGTACAGTTCCCGTTTGGCAGGGGTACCCGGATCCTTAGGGTTTAGGGTTTAGGGTTTAGGGTTAGGTACCCTAAAAAGGAACTACCATGGGGGGTCTAGATCAACTCCCAAGCCAGGAAACAGCTTTGGTGACCTCAGCCTGAGATCTTGCCACAGCTTATGGGGGTTGTCCTAGTTTGGGTCCCCCTTTTGGGGGGGGTCTTCGGGCCCTTCTCAAGGTCCCTTCTTTTGGGATTTGGGGGGGCCCAAGCCTAGAGCAACCTCCGTATTCTGCCGCCCATGTCCCCGACCGCCTCACGCTGTCCGAAGCGTCCGCAAACTTGAGGGTTTAGGGTTTAGGGTTTAGGGTTTAGGGTTTAGGGTTTAGGGGAGATGCCACCATCATAGTCGGTGGCGATCGATGGTCAGCAGCAGCACTCAACATCATTTCTTTGTAATGAAAGAACGCGGTGCTGGCATGGAGCTTCATCGCGTTTCCGTAAACTCTCTTCGGACAGCCGTGGCAATGTCGGTGGCACACAATAGAGTTTATTTGGAGACCTGCTATGATTCGTTTTATTGAAGATTTCGCTTGCAGTATCTGATGACTGACTAGCTTATCATATGGGTTTCTTCAAGGAATGCTAGAAGTTCACTATTTCTGCAGATGCAGAGTGCGTGTGTTGTTCCGTGAGGCTTCCGGAGCCGTGTTGCTGACGGTTGTCTGCTCTATGCTGTGCGAGCCGGCCAGACTGAATCGGGCACAGCTACACCTCGGATTCAGGGGGGGTTAGAGCAGAGCGGCCTCGCCATTCTCGAGCCTGTTCACGTGACCAGCCCCTTAGCATGTTTAGGGGTTTAGCTGACCACCTCCTGGAAATCTGAGGTGACGTAATATACACCGCATGCACAGACCTGAGAGCCACCGCGGTGTGCAAGTGGAACTACCCAGAATACTTGGAGGTTCATGGGTAGTTATAAGTAGGGTTATAAGTACCCTAAATAAGGTTATAACCAGTTACAACTATAGTTACCCTACCTGTAACCCCGCTTATAACTACCCATGAGCCTCCCAGTATTCCTGCGTGGACTTATCCCTACCGACCATGGGCTCATGCAACCCTAAACCCTGAACCCTAAACCCTAAACCCTAAATCCCCCCCAGCCCAGATGCTCCACTGAGGACCACGTACGAGTCCCTGCTACTCGGGGGGCTTACAATGTCACAGTCCCTTTTTGTCCCACTTGTGTGGCACCTACTCCTTAGAAAGAAGAAACTGAAAGAGTGAAATTCCCCCCCCCCCCCCCACACATGCAACCGATACCCCGAAACCCTCAACCTGTTCATCCCGGAGAAAGCACCAGGCCTGTGTCGCAAAAGGTATGGCGAAGGGGACCCCAACGTGGAACAATGTCGTAGCTGCCATCCCACTCAGCAGGGCCGCTTCGCATGTGTGGGTGGTTATGGGGTTTGAGTCCTTAAACCCTAAACCTTAAACCCTAAACCCTAAGCTCTAAACCCTAAACCCTCAACCCAAACCCGAAACCCTAAACCCTAAATGAGGTTCAGGTCCGCTTCTGAAGTGCCTGCTACAGGCCCAGCTTTAGGCAGCGCCTTTCCATGGCGGGAGGCATCGGGCGGATGCCTCGGTACCCTTTTCCAGCACTTCAAAAGATCGTTTCCAACCTCGGATACGCATTGTTTTGGTGCTAGACAAGGAGACCACCCTAAACCCTAAGCCCAAAAACCCTAAACCCTAAACCCTAAACCCTAAACCTTAAACCCTAAACCCTAAACCCTAAACCCTAAACCCTAAACCCTAAACCCCCCTCTGCTCTGCGCCATGGCGGCCGGCGCCCTTCGGGCAACCGCCTGAGCCATGGTGGGCTGTGCCCACCCCTCAGGCCTTGGGGCACCAGAAGCAAGGCCCCCTTAAAGGCTGCTAGTGAGCCTGAAGTTTCCTGAATCCTAAATAGCTTAAATCCTGAAGCCCTTCAACAATTTTTACAAAACCCGAAAGCCTCAAGACCCCTGAATTCCTGAAGCCTTCAACCCCGCTCAACCTCCCAAGGTCCAGCACAGCCTCCTCGCTGTCGGCCCTGGAGGCAGCTGGAGCCTTCAGTTCCTATCAACACACCCAAGGCAGACACCCCCTTCGGGCCGACTCTCCCCTCCGGCGCAATGCAGGCTACTTCCCGACGGGCGTGGCGTACGCGCCGGTGCGGCAGCGCTTCGCAGCGGACCCGGCGCGGACGTGCTGGTTGAGGGGTTTTCCTGTTGGCCTGCAGACTGGCAATCCTTGGGCGCAGGGTGCAATATTCAAGGTGATTGGAGAGCGTTTCGGGTTGGTAGCCGCCGCTGGAGCGAAAGCGCTCGCCTGAAGTCAGAAAGAGGCCCCCAAAGCCCCCAAGCAGCACCTGCATGATGTTTTTGACCCTAAACCCTAAACCCTGAACCCTGAACCCTGAACCCTAAATCCTAAACCCTAAACCCTGAACCCTGAACCCTAAACCCTAAACCCTAAACCCTAGACCCTGAACCCTGAACCCTAAATCCTAAACCCTAAGCCCTGAACCCTGAACCCTAAACCCTAAACCCTAAACCCTAAACCCTAAACCCTAAACCACTCTTTCATATATAATATAAATGTTAATGACTTTGCGGGCAAGGTCATATATTTAGCGGGCAAGGTCCTATATTTAGCGGGCAAGGTCATATAGCGGGCAAGGTCATATATTTAGCGGGCAAGGTCATATATTTAGCGGGCAAGGTCATATATTTAGTGGGCAAGGTCCATTGGCTAAAAAATGACCTTGCCCACTAAATATATGACCTTGCCCGCTAAAGGGCGACCTTGCCCACTAAATATATGACCTTGCCCGCTAAATATATGACCTTGCCCGCTAAATATATGACCTTGCCCGCTAAATATATTTGCCCGGGCCAGGTCATATATTTAGCGGGCAAGGTCATATATTTAGCGGGCAAGGTCTTCTTTTTAGCGGGCAAGGTATATATTTAGCGGGCAAGGTCCTATATTTAGCGGGCAAGGTCCTATATATTATCGCGGGCAAGCAGGTCCCCCCCCCCCCCCCCACCCCCCCCCCCCACCACACCCCCCCCCCACCCCCCCCCCCCCCCCCCCCCCCCCCATCCCCCCTCCCCCCTCAACCCCCCTCGACAATGAAGATCAAAGGGTGGGGTGGGGAAGCCCGCTTGTCAAGATGGCTTCCGAATAAGTTTCTGAATGACCGCGCCTGTTTTTGAGGCCCCTCAACCCCCTCAAAAGAGTCAAGAGACTCAAGATGGCTTCCAAAGAATAAGTTCCCGAATGACCGCGCCTGTTTTTGAGGCCCCTGAAGCCCCTCAATCGATTCAAGAAACTCAAGATGGCTTCCAAATGTGATAAACAGATCCATTCTGTTGACCACGTTTGGTTTTCTTGTCCGCTTGAAACAGAAACGTGTGGTCAACAAATCCATTCTGTTGACCACGTTTGGTTTTCTTGTCCGCTTGAAACAGAAACATGTGGTTAACTAATCCATTCTGTTGACCACGTTTGGTTTTCTTGTCCGCTCGAAACATAAACATGTGGTTAACAAATCCATTCTGTTGACCACGTGCCTAGAGAAGAAGGAGGTTTGATATTTTTCCTAATGTTGTTGAAAACGTGTCTGACTTGGGTAGGTAAAACTCTTTGGAGTAGGAAGAAAACCTTTTATTTTCTTAATGTTATGGGATTCTTTGGGCGGGTGGGTTTTTTTCGTTGCCTGAACACACTGCTGGCCTAGTAAATGCTCGAACTTGAGATGCTGAACCCTAAACACCCTAAACCCTAAACCCTAAACCCTAAGCCAAAGAGCGTGCGTTTCTTTGGCGCCCTTGGGCCTCCCCTAAGGCGCCGGGGCGCCTCGCGGCCTCGTTCGCCTCCGAGGTACCCGAGGAGGCCCTACACCCTAAACCCTAAACCCTAAACCCTAAACCCTAAACCCTAAACCCTAAACCCTAAACCCTAAACCCTAAACCCTAAACCCTAAACCCTAAACCCTAAACCCTAAACCCTAAACCCTAAACACCATCCTTGCTCCTTGTACATCTTTTGTCAGAGTGGTTTAGGGGTTTAGGGGTTTCGGGGTTTAGGGGTTTAGGGGTTTAGGGGTTTCAGGGGTTTTAGGGGTTTAGGGGTTTAGGGGTTTAGGGGTTTGGGGGGTTTAGGGGGTTTAGGGGGTTTAGGGGTTTAGGGGTTTAGGGGTTTAGGGGTTTAGGGGTTTAGGGGTTTAGGGGGTTTAGGGGGTTTAGGGGGTTTAGGGGGTTTAGGGGGTTTCGGGGTTTAGGCGTTATACCACGATGTCACTGCGTCACTAGACCACTGGATCAGTAGATCGCGTTGTCCTAAGCCAAAAAAGGGGGCGAAAACCAAACCCACTTGCGTGTCTGCCAAGTGCAGGGTTAAGTGTAGGGTTTTGTGCCTCGATCCAGTGGGGGGACCCCCCATATGGACCACGCGAAACTGGGCACTTCTTCGGTTTTTTCATAGGGTATTCCTGCTACCAGGACCTCTGGTGGGCAATCAAGCCATGTATTCCCAAGTGTTCAGGGCCCACGGAGTAACTTTTTCCAGGTGGGTTCAAGATGGCAATCCAGAAAACCACCCAACAAAAATAGGTTACAACCCTCAACCCTCAACCCTCAACCCTCAACCCTCAACCCTCAACCCTCAACCCTCAACCCTCAACCCTCAACCCTCAACCCTAAACCCTAAACCCTAAACCTTAAACCCTAAACCCTAAACGCTCAAAGCGCCAGGAGGGGCGGCAAGAGCCGGCTTGGCCCGACATCTTGCCCAAGTACCTGAAGAAGAAGGCTTGGGGGGGGGGGGGGGGGGGGAGGGGGTGGCGGAATGTCAGACACCTGCTATGGGCGTGTATATCCAGCATTCGTGTTCCCTCGACCCTGCCAGTGCCTCGGTAGCCTTGAGACGCAGATCTTGCCGCGGAAAGGGAAGGGGAGTGGGCGAGGGCACGCTTCTACCGCATCTTCTGCAGCGGAGTCAGACGGAACCCGGCGAACCTCCAATTTATCCCTGCCACTCCTGCTTTCTTCCGGGCTTTGGCTTCGGAACTTCAAGGTCGAAGTTCGGGGCCTTCGAAAGAGAGCAGGCCACACCCCCCCCCCTCTCTTGACCCGAAACCCCGAACTCTTGGCAGAGGCCCTAAGTTTGACCGGAACACGCCCTCCCCCCCTCCCCTCGTCCTTTGGCAGTTGAAGAGAGACGACGAGCTGGATGTGGATGCCGCGCTCCGGCGCCTATGCCTGTCAGTTCGCAAAACAGAGTAAAGGAACCCTCCACCACAGGGACCCCCGCATGCAAACCCCCTAAACTCTAAACCCTAAACCCAAAACCCGAATCCCTGAACCTCCGTGGGGATGGCAATCCCCACGGGCTTTCGGGTTTGTCTTGGATTCTGTTTGCTGGGGGATGCCTTCCTGCCTGCGATGTTTGCGGGTTTTCATTGAGGTTAGACCGGCAGGCCCCAATCTTCGGGCCCACTTTGGGGGTTACCCTGAACATGGGGGGTGGGCCCGAAATATAACTATGATGTACTCAAAAAGGATCACAAAGGCTTCTGATGCAGTTGCCATCCACAGCACCCGGCACAAACAGCTTCCTTCACAGGGACTGTTAAGGGTCCGAATGTAGGCCTCACACGGTTGGCGGCGAATGAAGGCGAACCGTCTAGGGAGTTTGGCTTTAAGCCGTTAGGCCTCCTTATCTGCAAGAATTGCGACGAACTTGGGTTTCCTTATTTCTAAGAAGATGAGCTTCAGGCTTGAAGTAAGCCTGTCATCGACAGAATCCGAAGTCGACAGTGTGACTTTGAGGAAGGTGGCAGCCACCCGCGCGGCGGGCCGTGCGAAGGCAGCTGCTCCGTGCACTGCACGGCATGGCAAGCCAGAACATGTCATGTCTTGGACGGCGAGCTTGGGGCTAGATTGGGGGGGTCCAAGAAGTGGTGGCGAACGGTCTTTCATGCCGAGCCCCTAAACCCTGAACCCTGCACCCTAACTTCAAAGGTGCAGAGGGTTTAGGGTTTAGGGTTTAGGGTCTTCCGCCAGCAGTGGCTTTGCAATGTCCCACCAGTCTCACATCGTTGCCACGCAGGTTGCTCACGACGAGCTCGATGCACAGGTCCAGCAGGCCGTCCGTCTTACTTCCCAACTGACCTTCCCAAACCCTAAACCCTCTCTACCTATATATATTTAAACCTTAATGGGGTCGTCTGGTGATTTTGGACTTTCCTAAATCCTAAAGCCTAAAGCCTAAAGCCTAAAGCCTAAAGCCTAAAGCCTAAAGCCTAAATCCTAAATCCTAAATCCTAATCCTAAATCCTAAATCCTAAATCCTAAATCCTAATTTAATATGGGCTGTCCCGGGACCGCCCCGGGACGGGTTGTCCCGGGGCCCCCCCCGAAACAAATGTCCCGTGTTAGCCTCCGGGACACCCGGCTTTTTGAAGCCTTTTGGGGCTATGGTGGTGCTTTCGGGTAAAATGGAGGGGCCCCGAAACCGTCAATTCCCGTACTAAAAAACAGCATTTTTCATTGCAGGAGCAGGCAAATACCAGGCTCCTCCCTTTTTTTGGGAGCTTTTTGAAGCATTTTGGGTTTTTTTTGTAGCTGTTTGGGGCTGTGGTGGTGCTTCGGCCCCGAAACCGTCGATTTTCAGTATTCAAAACAGCTTGTTCATTGCAGGAGCAGGCAAATACCAGGCTCCACCCTGTTTTGGGAGTTTTTTGAAATTTTGGGGCTTTTGAAAGTATTTGGGGCCGGGTGCTGCTTTGGGGTAAAATGGAGGGGCCCCGAAACCGTCGATTTTCAGTATTGAAAACAGCATTTTTTCAGTGCGGGGGCAGGCAAATACCAGGTTCCCTCCCCCCTTTTTTGGGCATTTTGAAGCATTTTAAAGCTATTTGGGCTATTTGGGGCTGCGGTGGTGCGGATTTGGGATTCAGGGGCTTCTCTGGAGCTTTTATGATTTAGGATTTAGGGTTCAGGGGACTTAAGCAGTAAGAATTGAGGTAGATAGGGTTGCCAAATGAAAGGGATTCTGGGTGGGTGGGGTGATGCCAAACACCCTTAGTGAATGCTTGGATCAGAGATGCTGAACCCTAAACCCTAAACCCTGAACCCTAAACCCTAAACCCTAAGCTTTAAACTTAAGCCGTCCTATGAATCGATGAAACTAACCTCTAGCAGGGGCCCAAGTGTTAGCTTGTGTAGTCCTCTTACGAAAACTCGACAAGTACTCCAAGCACCAGTGCAAGGACCCTCTCAGCAGCCATTCGCAATGCACCACTTGCCACACTTGGTCCCCTCCCCATGGATATTGTGATGATGGATGTTGTGATGTCGGGCTGTTGATGCAATGTAGGCAAGGGAGGAACGTCGCATCTCTAGGAAACCACAACCAGGAAGAGGGGGTTTAGGGCTTAGGGTCTAGGGTTTGGGGTTTAGGGTTTAGAGGCTGACCTTACCGAACCTTCAGGCCTAAACCCGGCGCTCCAGAACCTACACCTCTCCCGGACGACTCCCAATGATTGTTCTTCATATTAGGTGTTGCTACTTGAATGATGTTCATATGCAATGTTAATGTAGTGAACGAAGATTGAAAATGAACATTGTTAATAGTAATACCGTAATACCAGCATTATGATCATCACGAATGCCGTAGCACGGCCAGTAGAACTATTGCTATCGTTACGGATACTCGTAGTACCATCCCAACAAACATTGTTCTTCGTATAAGGAGAATCTTCAGTTGGGGGCTTACGACAACGAGAGAGACCCAATATAGACACCCAACTGCAGGATTCCCACTTTCTCAGGGCCCAATAAGGTCCCCAAGTTCCCGGAAACCCCCCAAAAACCCCCCAAAAACCCCCAAAAACCCCCCAAAACCCCCCAAAACCCCCAAAAACCCCAAAAAAACCCCCAAAAACCCCCCCCGTGTGCTTTCCTTGCCGCCTGTTTCGAGCGGTCAGGCAAAGGCCAGCGCCCGCGACATCAGCCGGCAACAAGCCGACTCCAAGGACCCCCCCCCCTCCCCCCCCCCTCCCCCCCCCCCTTTCCTGTTGGCTATTGAGGACTTTTGAGGGCTTCTGAGGGCTTTTGAGGGCTTTTGAGGGCTTTTGAGGACTTTTTGAGGGCTTTGAATAGCCCACTTTCCTTCCCGGCCAGCATCCCAACCTCTTCCCCCGACATGTGAAGAACCCCCCTAATGTGTCCAGGATGCCGAGAGGGAGAAGATGCAGTCCCTGGCCGAAGCCATGCAGGCAACCCAGGAAGCCAAGAAGAAGGAGGCCCGGGGGGGGGGGTTTGGGGTTGAGGGGTCGAAGGTTTCTGTGAGCCCTGAACGCCATGAATTCGAAGTTTCGTAGGGTGGAGCCCGAGTGCGCTTCAGGTAGCCCGACAAGTTTGTTCAGGAGCGTCTTTTCTTCGTGGGACCTTCTGGCTTCAGGGCCTTGGGGAATGACCAGTAGCCATCATCCTAAGCGCCCCGGAAGCCATAAACCTTGTGAACCCCTAAACTTCCCTGCCAAGGCATTTTTTACGTCCGTGCGTTCCCTAGAGCGACCCAGGAAGTAAGCTCCTAAAGAGCCTCCACCCTGGGACCACTCTGGTAAAGCCTATCAGGTCACCTCTTGATCATTCATTCCTTTTTTTTCGGGGGGGTGGGGTGTGGTTATGGGACAACGCGGGGCATTTTTTTTTTGGGTTTTTTGCCCAGATTGGCTCCACGGAGCAGCTCATTTCCGCCGACTCGCGCCGGGACTTCGCCCAGGGGGAGCAGCTGGAGCCCTTTGGAAGAAGTGGGGGGAGTTTACGAAAGTCAGGGACCCCGAACATAGGCCCCCCCAAGTGGTAGGATTCCCTTATAGTACCGCGTAATGTCGGAAACATCCAGAAGTGCTTCTCGGGGTTTCAGGTTGTGTTTTGGAGGGTTTGTGTTTGGGGCTGGTGGAGGATTTTGGTTATGGGCTTGAGGTTGTAGTCTGGTCTACCTTTGCGGTGTCTCAGGCTGAAGACAACAAACCTAGACCCTAAACCCCAAACCCCAACCCCTGCAAACTGGAAGCTTGACATGCCACATGTGCTGTTTAAAAGCATCAGCCGTTTCACTTAGATTGATCGCATTGACTTCAAGTCCGTGTCAACCCCAAACTAAAAAAACAAAACCCTAAACCCCAAACCCCAAACCCCAAACCCCAAACCCCAAACCCCAAACCCCAAACCCCAAACCCCAAACCCCAAACCCCAAACCAAACCCCAAACCCCAAACCCCAAACCCCAAACCCTAAACCCTAAACCCCAAACCCCAAACCCTAAGCCCTAAACCCCAAGCCCCTAGCCCCAAAACCTAAGCCCTAAGCCTCCTTTCTTCGCCAGCTGAGGGCTGAGGAGCAGGAGGCGCGGGTCCTCCATGCCATCCAGGCAGGGTGTAGGGTTTAGGGTTTAGGGTTTAGGGTTTAGGGTTTGGGGAGGGCCTCGGCGGGGGGTTTGGTAAGCAGACATCAGACCCTCGACCCCGAAGCCAAGCCCCGAAACTCGTCTGTTGTGTTCGCGGAAGCTCTCTTCAAAAGCACACCCTGCTGACCGAAGGAGGCGGAGACCGAGGCGCAAAGGCGCGTCAAGGCAGGGGAGCTGCTGAGGGAGGGTTCTGTGGCTTTGGGGCGCTCGCTCGCAAGGTCTCCTGCGGACACGACGTGCTTTAAGTTGGGGTTCGGGGTTCAGAGGGAGTTGGGGCAAGTTGGGGCGCTCGGGGGCTTCAGAGGCTTTCAAGCCCCCAAGACCGAAGAGCCAAGGGCCGCAACACCATCGTGGGGAAGGAGGCCGAGAACAAGTTCGGCACCCCGACCGCAGTTCTGTAGGGGTCCGAAGAATTTCGAGTGGTGTTGCCTCAGGTCTCTATATACCTACACTGCCAATGGGCCCCAGCTCCTGTTCTAATTATGAAGGCCCCTGTGTTAGGGGATTTGGGTCAGGAGGGTTGAGGCGGTTCGTTTTGTTGGGGGAGGTTCAGGTCCTGGAGGATGTTTGTGTTTTTGGTTTAGGGTTTGGGTTTTGGGGGCTTGCTGCCTTTTTTCTCCTTGGGCCGTGCTCTAAGGAATGGTCATCCACACGAAGGAGGCCCGAGGGCGAGATCTGGGGTCGGGTTGCAATGGTTTGCAGCCCTGCAGGCCCTAAACCCTTTCGACCCTCAGCTTACAAAAGGGTGTGTGTTGTGTTGTGTGTGTGTGTGTTTTTCTTTCAATAATTGTGTCGGATTCTCTTCTGGCACGCGTTCGGCTTCTTGCGCAAAGCTACGCGCTCGCTCTCCGGAACCAACTTAGAGACTGCAGCGCCTCCCATCAAAATCCGAAACCCTCGCTACCCGAACCCCTCAAAACCCTAAAGGCTTCCAAGACCCTAAAGAAACCCGAAGGCCCTAAAGACTCCCCGAAATTTGCAACCCTGGAGCCCCAAAGGCCTGTGATGCAGAGAAGGGCACAGAGTGGCACAATGGAAAGCGGCTTGACGGCGCTTAGGCAGCCGGGTTTATAGGGTTTAGGGTTTAGGGTTTCGGGTTTAGGGTTTATAGGGTTTAGAGTGGTTTAGGGTTTAGGGTTTGTAGGGATGGGGGCGCAAGGCAAGCGCCCCGCCGTGCATAATATCGCTTGCCGACCCGAACAGGCCCCTCATTCGGGGTGGGGAACCTGAGATTTGAGCCGAACCAGGCCGCACCCCCAAGCAGCCCATGCAAACCCTCAACGAGGGGGACTTTGGGCTCATACTTGAGGGTCCGCGATCCGGTGATCCGTTGCAATCAAAACCCCTGGAAGCCCCAAACCCTCACTAAGCCCGAAAGCCAATCTTCCCTGAACCATTGGGGTGGTCTCAAAATCGCCATGTTTCGGCATCCAAAACAGAAGAAGGAAGACACTGCGAAGATACTATAGCTGCTCCCACCAAGGAAAAAAATCCTCAAGGGGCGCCCATCCAAGGTGCGTCGTGTCAGGCGAGAGCCGAAGTCCAGATACGCGACCCGGTCGATCAGGGAAGCGGGATATGCGAAGGTTCTTTCAGGGAGTTGCAGGGTCAGCGTTTCAGATTGAGAGAGCTTCAGGGTTAGGAGCTGGAGTGAAAGAGATCTACCCTTTAGAAACCCTTCTAACACCTTTTACACCCTTTTTAAGCCCTCTAACGCCCTAACGCCCTCTCTGACTCAAACCTCTGACCCCTCGAATCCTTCGGCCTACGTGCCGGCGAGGCGTCATAGGGGTGCGTTCTCTACTTGCAAGAGCCCCTTCTCAGGGTCAAAGCAGAAAAGCCCTCAAAGGGATCAGAACTGTCGAGCCCTGAAGCGCTTCATCCTCCTCAAAGCCGAGGCCGGAGGAGGTGGCGGCCATGAAGGCCGTGAACGATGCCCAAAGCGCGTTCGACGCGGCTCGGGGTGGCACTTGAGCGTTGTCTTTTTCTTCTAGGACTCGGCTTGCGCAGGGGTCGTGGTCTTTTTTGGGAAAGGATGAATGAAAGGTCAAAGGCCGGAATCTAGCTGACAGCCTGTCTCAGGCTCATAGCTGGGGACTTGCTCTGCACCCATCGCGCGTTCGAATAGGACTGCCCCTGGAAGCTCTCAAGGTACCATATGTGTTTGCTCTGTGTCTTTCTGTTTCTGCAAACACATCTTGATCCGCCGAGGCCTCGAAAAATGTGGTGCACGACAAGAACCATGTCCTCAAGGCATGGTTGCAGGTTTGAGGCTTCCGCTCCCCAGGTTTGACCCACTGTTTCGGCTCGAGGTCTACGCAGCTGTCTCAAGAAAATAGTCAGGCTTAGAGAGTCTCATCTTTGGAAAGCCCGACCCCTACAGGCCCTGAAGCAGACGGCCAGGGCTTCGTACTAGCATTGACGATAACCAGGCAGAATTTCAGTTCCAGAGTTTGGAATCAACACCTTGCTTGAAAAGAAGGTCCGGGCTCAAGTTGTTGTGGGGAAGGAAGTTCACGGCTTGTTTAGGGTCGACGGCTGAAGTCGACTGAAGACGGCTGAAGGCTAAGCAGCAGAAGCTGAACCACGCGAAGGTTGAGCTGCGACTCACCGCGATTTGGGGTTTAGGGTTTCGGGTTTAGGGTTTAGGGTTTTGTCCGGTTCTGTGAGGTTTCAGGGCGCCAACAGGGCCATGTCGGATGGATGTTTGTGTTGCTCGTGTGCGATGCAGGCTGGCAAGGATACAGTCGGAAGCACAGTGGAGTTTCTTCCCCCGCTGGCACCTTTGTAAATCCCGGCTACGTCCTTGGCACACTTTGGGGTCGCCACGAGACGAGGCTTTCTGGCCCACAGGCCCATAGTTCCCTAATGCCCGAAGCTCCAAGAATCGATAAGCGTTACTGCACCCCCCAAGCCGTACCCTAAACCCTAAACCCTAAACCCTAAACCCTAAACCCTAAACCTTAAACCCTAAATCCTAAACCCCAAACCCTAAACCCTCTAAACGCTCAACTTCCCAGGGAGTCCTACAGAAACCACCACCCCCCCGAGAGCATCTTCGCCTTCTCCGAGAAGCCGGAGGTCTGTTGAGGGTCAGGCTTTTGGGTTTAGTGTTTAGTGTTTTGAATGTTGTTTCTCTGATTATTGTTGTTTTAGTTTTTTTTTCTTTTGGGGGGGGGGTGCGGGGGGGGGGGGGGGGGGGGTGTGGGGGGTGGGGGGAGGGGGGGGCTGCGGGGATCTTTCGCACAAGCCATCCGCGGATCCCTACCCCTACTATGTGCTTAGGAACCCCCCCAAAAAACACAAGCTAATCATCCCTATATGACCTTATAGGGAAGAATCCTTTTGTTTTTTGGGGGGGTTCTTAAGCAAGTCGTAGTGCCACCAGTCTAAACCCTGAACCTTAAACCCTAAACCCTAAACCCCAAACCCTAAACCCTAAACCCTAAACCCTAAACCCTAAACCCTAAACCCCAAACCCCAGGACCATAAGAGGTGTCAAAGCCCCGAAGCCCAAGATGCCCAGCGAAAGGAAGCCGCGCTGCGGCAGAAGTTTGACTCGGCAAAGGACGGCTTGCTGCTTAGGTTTAGGGTTAGGGTTTAGGGTTTAGGGTTTGGGTTCAGGTTCAGGGTTTAGGGTTTTTAGGGTTTAGGGTTTAGGGTTCGGTTTCGGGGTGTCGCTTTCGGAGGGGTGAAGAGAGAGAGGGAGAGAGAGAGAGAGAGAGAGAGAGCGAGGGTCTAAGCACCAGAAAAGGGCTCGGTTGTTCAGATGTAGCATGTGCGAACTAAGGAAGCCTGGGTGTTTGTGCCACAAGTTTTTCCCATCGTTTGCATCACGTGTGTTTAAAACCACGCGATTCCAAGTTACCCTGCAAACCCCTGTCCCCTGGACTGTAAACCCTCACCCTCAGGATTTCAGTTTCCGAGGTTAGTTGTTTCTAGTTTCCGGAACATTGAGGAGCGAGCTCATTTTGCAGCAGCCGCCTGAAGTTCGTCTAGGGTCATGGTCTCGTCATGAGTGATATGCGCGACCGGCTTCGTTCGCTTCGAATCATGTTGAATGCTCAAACCCGCACCCTGCTGCAGTCCGAATCCCCGGAACTTAGACGTGGACCATAAAGCAAAAACACGCGCAACTTGATCACTGTTATGCCGCTATCGCCCTGAAGCCTGGCGCCCTGACACTGAGCATTGGCGGCTCCATCTGGAGATCTTGGTTGGCTTCCTTGTCTTCGGGGTCCTTTCATTGTTTTTCGGGTGCTGGGCCTTTCTCGAGGCGGAGTGGGATGTGGCCACGACGCGCTGAACGCTGCGAAGGCCCATCTCCTCTGCAGTAACTGCAACAAAATGCCCTGCGTCCACAGGTTGAGAGGTCTGACGGGGGGTGTGAACCGGTAGGATGACAGTTTCTCTCTCCTTTTAAAAAACCCGTTCCCTCCTCTCGCTCTCTCGGCTCCTCCGCTCTCCTCGCTCTCTCGACTCGCCTCTATATCTCGTCGCTTAATCGTATCTCCCTCCCTCTCCCCCCCTCCCTCCCTCTCCTCTCGCTCTCTCGCTCTCTCGCTCTCTCTCGCTCTCTCTCGCTCTCTCTCGCTCTAGCTCTCTCTCTCTCATCTCCGCTCTCGCTCGCTCCTCTCTTCTCTCCCTCCCTCGCGATCTATCCTCTCGCTCTCTCGCTCTCTCGCTCTCTCCGCTCTTCTCGCTCTCCTGCGCTCTCTCTAGTCTCTTCGCCTCTCTCGCTCTCTCTCGCTCTCTCTCGCGCTCTCTCGCTCTCTCTCGCTATCTCTCGATCTCTCTCGCTCTTCTCTCGCTCTCTCTCGCTCCGTCCCTATCTCGTCTCGCTCGCTCTCTCTCAGCTCCCTAGTCTCTCGCTCTGTCGCGCCTCTCATCTCGCGATCTCGCGATCCATCCCTAGATCTCGTCGATATCTCGCCTCTCCCTCCCTAGCTCTCTCGCTCTCACGCTCTTCGCTATCCGATCTCTCGCTCTCTCGCTCTCCGCATATCTCGTCTCTTCGTCTCTCGCCTCTTCGCTCTCTCGCTCTCTCGCTCCTCGCTCCTCTCGCTCTCTCGCTCTCTCGCTCTCTCGCTCTCTCCTCTCGCTCCTCGCGCTCTCGCTCCCTTCCTCTCGCTCTTCGATCCATCCCTCCCTCGCCTCTCGGCTCTCTCGCTCTCTGCGCCTATCGCCTTCTCGCTCTCTCGCTCTCTCGCTCTCTACCTCTTCGCCTCTCTCCGCTCTCTCGCTCTCTCCTCTCTCGCTCTCTCGCTCTCTCGCATCTCTCGCTCTCTCGCTCTCCGCTCTCTCGCTCTCTCCGCTCTCTCGCTCTCTCGCTCCTCATCCCTCGCCTCTTGCTATCTCCCTCCATCGCTCCATCGCTCTCTCGCCTCTCTCGCTCTCTCGCTCTCGCTCTTCTCGCTCTCTCGCTCTCTCGCTCTCTCGCTATCTCGCTCTCTCCCTCTCTCGCTCTCTAGGCTCTCTCGCTCTACTCGCTCTCTCGCTCTCTCGCTCTCCTACCTCTCTCGCTCCCTTCTCCTCTCGCTCTCCTAGCTCTCAACTCCCTCGCTCTCTCGCTCTCCTCCCTCCCCCTCGCTCTCTCGCTATATCGCTCTCGCGCTCTCTCGCTCTCTCGCTCTCTCCGCTCTCTCGCTCTCCGCTCTCTCGCTCTCTCGATCTCTCGCTCTCTCGATACTCTCGCTCTCTCGTCTCTACCTCTCTCGCTCTCTCGCTCCCTCTCTCGCTCTCTCGCTCTCTCGCTCTCTCGCTATCTCGCATTCTCTGCTCTCTCGCTCTATCGCATCTCTCGATCTCTCGCTCTCTCGCGCTCTCGCCTCTCTCGCCTCTCGCTTCTCGACCTACTCTCGCTCTCTCGCTTCGTCGCTCTATCCCTCATCATCTCCCTCCGCCCTCCTCCATCCCTCCCTCGCCTCGCTCTCATCGCTCTCTCGCTCTCTCGCTCTCTCGCTCTATCGATCTCTCGATCTCTCGCTCTCTAGCTCTCTGCGATCTCTCGTCTCTTCGCTAACTTCTCTCGCTCTCTCGTCTCTCACGCTCTCTCGATCTCTCGCATCTCGCGCTCTCTCGCATCTATCGATCTCTCGCTCTCTCGCGCTCTCGCTCTCTCGCTCTATCGCCTCTCGCTCTCTCGCTCTATCGATTCTGCGATATCTGCTCTCTCACTTCCCTCGCATCTCTTCGCTCTCTCACTAACTACCCTCCACTCGCTCTCGCGCTCTCTCGCCTCTCGCTACTCTTCAGCTTCTCGCTCCCAGCTCTCTCGCTATGATCGCTCTCTCGCTCTCTCGCTCGTCGCTATCTCGCTTCCTCGCTCTTCTCGCTCGATTAGCTCCTATCGATCTTCGCTCTCTCGATTCTCCGTGCTTCTCGCTCTCTCGCTCTCGCGCTCTATTCCCTCTCTCCCTCTCTCCCTCTCCTTCCCTCCCCTCGCTCTCTCCCTATCCTCATCCCTCTCCCTCCCTCCCTCTCTCCAGCTCTCTCGTCTTCTCGCTCTCTCGCGTATCTCGCTCTCTAGCTCTCTCGATCTTGTAGATCTATCACTCCCTCCCTCCCCCCTCCCCTCTCGCTCTATCGCTCTCTCGCTCTCTCGCTCTCTCGCTCTGCGCTCTCTCGCTCACCCTCTCTCGCTCTCTCGCTCTCTCGCTCTCTCGACTCTCTCGCTCTCTACGCTCGCTCGCTCTCTCGCTTCTCTCGCTCTCTCGCTTCTCTCGCTCTAGCGCTCCTCCCCTCTCGCTTCTAGCTTTCTCTCGCTCTCTCGCTCTCTCGCTCTTCTCGTCTCTAGCTCTCTCGCTCTCTCGCTCTCTTCCTCCATCGCTCCTCGCCATCTCGCTCCCTCGCTCTGTCTCGCTCTCTCGCGCTCTCACGCTCTCTCGCGCTATCGCTCTATAGCTATCTCGCTATCCGCTCGCCGCTCTAGCGTCTCGCTCGCTCGCGCTCGCTATCGATCGCTATCGCCTAGCTCTCGCTCGCTCTCGCGCTCTAGCAGCCTCGCGCCTCTCGCTCCCTCTAGCTCTCCGATCTCTCGCTCTCTCGCTCTTCGCTCTTCTCGCTGCTCCTCTCGCTCTATCGCTCTCTCGCTCCTCTCGCTCTCGCTCTCTCGCTCTAATCGCTCTCCGCCTCTCGCTTCTTCGCTCCTACGCTCTCTCGCTACTCGCTCTCCTCGCTCTCGCGCTCTCTCGCTCTCTCGCTCTCTCGCTCTTCTCGCTCTCTCGCTCTCGCTCTCTGCTTTCTCTCGCTCTGTGCTCTCGCTCGCCTCGCGCCTCGCTCGCTCAGCTCTCGCGCTCTCGCTCGCTTCGCGCTCTCGCGGCGCTCGCTCGAGCGCTCGCGAGCTCTCGCGCATCGCTAGTCTCTCGCCCTCGCGCTCTCTCGCTCTCAGAGCTTCTCTGTCTCGTTTAACGTCTCTGTGTCTTAACTACTTTTCATCGCTCATGGTTTCACGACAATATTGCGACACATAGCAAGAATAAGTTTCGTTGCACCTTCTGTTCTTTAGGTATCACCGTTACCATCGCCGGAACTATTGTCATTATTACCACTCTAATTCCTCCCATGGGGGACCGGGGATGCAGAACGAGCGAGGCAGACTCCTGGGCCAAGCGCAACAGCCTGTCCGAAGCCCTGAGGACGCGGAAGGTTGGTTTCGAAGGTTTCGGTTTCATGGTGCAACCCTCGTCCATGTGTAATCATCGGAAACTGGAGAAGTAAGAAGGTTTAAGGCCCCCCTAAATCCTAGACCCTTCACCGTAAACACAAGCACAGCAGCCTCAGCAAAACCTGCATCGTAAATCGGCTGGCGAGTCAGGGACAGTACTAGGTGAGATATCCCTTAAGCCGGCGATGTTTGCGGAACACATCTGCAGGCTTGCCTTTTAGGCCGAACCCTATGGTTAGCGCCCTCAGCCGTGATGATCAGCATGAGTCCCTCAACTTCCATGTTTCTGGCCGTCAGTGCCACACCCTGTCGCACCAGGAATGCCATATCCGTCGAGCATGACGAGGCTGCTGAGGGAGCTGTCGCCCTAATCCAAATCCACAAGATCGAGCTTGGAAGTCCCAGATTATGCGAATCTACTCCAAGCGCGCCCCAAGTGTGGCGCAGACCTTAGAGCCCCCCCCCCCCCCACCGCAGGAGAACAAAGATGCGGCCGACCTTGCGACCATTGACCAGGTCCCAGGGAGTTTTGTGGATAAGAGCTTCGGGGTTCAGGGGCTCACGTGGAAGGTTCAAGATGCATTTTCCGGAAGATAATTTGAACCAGTGGAGGGCAGGGAGGGCCCCCGAGGAGTAGCACCGGAGATCTCTTGGCCTGGGGGGTGCGTCTATGTATATGAATGTGTATGTGTATGTGTACGTGTACGTGTATGTGTATGTGTATGTGCATCTGTATATGTATATGCATATGCATATGTATATGCATATGTATATGTATATGTGTATGTGTATGTGCATCTGTATATGTATATGCATATGCATATGTATATGCATATGCATATGTATATGGGTATGTGTATGTGTATGTGTATGTGTATGTATATGTGTGAGCATGTTCACGTGCATGTGCTTGTGCACGTGTATATGTGTGTGTATGTTTATGTCGGTACGCATGAAGTGATGCATCGAACCGCGCTCGCCAGCAGCAGCCTTGTCTTGCGCCCCATCCCGACATCCCCTGATGAGACCCCTGAGAAGCCCTAAGGGCTTTCGGGTTTAGGGCTCCAAGTTCCAGTCGAACCGTCCACCGCCCCCTGTTCGATTTGGCCAGGTACGCGGCCGGGCGCACGCCGATGTCAAGCGGTCTGAAGACGAGCCTGGAGACCTAGGGGCTCAGAGGCGACAACAAGTAAGGCCCTCTTAGTTGCCCCCAACACAGCCCCCAACATGCGGACCCGAATAAAGTTCTTAATTTCGGGGGTGTGTGGCCGCGAGTGCGAAGTTTCGCATGTAGCTTCGAACGTTTAGGTCTGCAGGTTTCGTGTTGTTTACTGAGTTCATGCTAGTGAAACCAGGCTAGTGAACCCTGGGGACACAGTCTCTGAGCAATAGTTAAACAGCCCTTCCTTTGATGCAGGAGACCGCCCCGGTTTTTTGGTCGGGTCGGGAGGAGCTCCCTAACCCCAAAAACCATGAACTCTCAACCTGCCCCAACTCCATGAGCCCAAAATTCTCAACCTCCGAGCCCGCAATCGATGCTTAAGGATCGCCGACATCGAAGAGGAGCAGGCCCAGGCGCGCTTTTTTGGGGTTTAGGGGTCTCGGGTTTAGGGCTCAGGGGCCTGCATGTCTTGTCGTTC